ATATATAGTGGGGAAGCCACATTGAACCAAAGGGTGTCAAGCGACACCCCTTTGCCGGAAAATTATACTATGTTGCTAGATAATTTTTTTTATTTTATGAATAATTACTGTACGATGACTCCCTTTGATTTTTCGATGTATCTAATTACTTATATTTTGACACCTCTTGATGAAAATTCTGACTCCGCCACAAGCTGTACGGTATCATTTTCCCAAGATGAGATAGGTTTTTTTGTCCATTCCAAGTTTAGCTGCTCTCCAATCTATTCACTTTGCCCTACATTACCCAGAGCTTTCCATTCCAAGTTTAGCTGTTGGAAACTGTTCCTAAATGTTTTTCCTTTTCCCCATTGTTGTACAGCTAATTTAGTGATAAGGGCACAAGATAATTAAGCTAGAACAAATGTGTGTGAACCAAAGACTCATCACAAAAAAGAAAGAGAGAAAATAACTCATAACTTATAGTACTAAAGATAATTCAAATCAGCAAGGCAGCTGCTCCAACTCCTTTTTATCATGGGCAGGAAGTTCAGGAGCACAATATGTCACGTATCTATAGAAACATATACCAAAGCAGAAGCTCAAAACTAAGGCTCTAACTAATAATTCTACGTTCAACATGTAAGCAAGAACCTGCATTACTAATCCCAACATTACATCTATTCCCTTAATATCATATGCTACGCGCAAGAAGTGCGCAAAGGCATAGAAATATCCGGTGCAGCCTACTAATAGAGCGAGATACCCATAATTGAACTCCAAAAGGTGATGCAAGGCTGCAGCAGTTACCAGAGGAATGACCTCGATCATAAATTTAGCCTTGGCACCAATTAACCGGAAAGGCATGTCGCGATGCCAATAAACAACAGAGTGCAGCACATTGTTATGAAGTATAAAGCCACAACCCGGAAATATCCCGAAGGCAAAAATTAACAGATGATCAGTACCCCCTAACAGCAGGAAGGCAGCGACCAAGCACTCGAAGGAAATGGTAGTAAACAAATACCACAAATAGTCATAACCTTCTACGAGAGGCTCTGAAAGAAACACGTACGAGAAGAAAATATTCAGCATCTCAAAGAAAGTTACGAAAACACAAAATCGAGCACACCAAAACAATGAACAACAATATTAGAACGGGCAACGATTCACAAAAGATCACCACTTTAAAGTCTAAAAGGAAGCATCATAAATTTGTTCTGAGCATGGTTAACAAAGAAGTATATATAATGAATATAAATCCTATGGCCAAGCGGGAAATGGCAGAACCATGCACCAACTTGATACACTGTTATTACCTCTGCTCAAAGGAAATATCATAAATTTGTGGCAATGTCAAACTTAATCATTCCTTAAGTTCAAGCTCCCTTTCATGTGATAGATTTCTAGCCTTAAACAACCTCATAATTCCAAGTCAAAAAACTCAATAATTAGGTAAAAAAGACTTACTACCACCGTCTGAACGACCAAATAGCCCTGGCGCCAACCATTTAAACTCCATAAAAGATGAAATCACGGCCTTCAACTTCTAATAGGAAACCATGCACGTGAGGAGGAACATGCCACGGGTTGCAGGAGAGGCAGAGAGAGGGAGAACTTGAGAGGAATCATCCATCCGGCTGCAGATAGATATAAGTCTAATACCAGATTTTATTTACTGATTTATATATTTTGCCATCAAACAACAAAGATATGTAAGAGTCAGTAGAAACGAATAACAGGAGAAAATATGTTGAAGAAACTGTTAACAAGAAATTTTGCACACATAACTCCAATGATCATATAGATGATAAGAAATTCACAAGCCAGTCAGGGATTTATGATCTGAAATTAATTTCAAAGGCACTAAACAACTAGATGCCCTAGCAGCTTGTTTGGATGGCATTACATATTGTATTTGTATCATACTGTTACTTTAAATACAATGTTTGTGTTGATTGTTACTCACAGTAAATTTTATTGTATCGTATCGTTAAATCAATCGTTTCTCAACGACGAAAAATGTCACTTTATGGAATAGCGAATTTGGTGCGGTGACGTTGTCTCCTTGCTTTTTTCTCTCATCTTGCCCTTCCTTATTATAAAATAATCACATTTTATCATTTACCCTACTTTTTTATATAATAATTCTACTATGTATCCTATTTTTTCTTAATTATGTTACAAGTTTATTTTTCACATTGTTGGTGTGTGACATCATGAAACGACAGTGGGTCTGGAAAGGTTAGAGCGTACATAGACCTAACCCCTACCCGAAGGAGTAGATAGGCTATTTTCGAAAGGCCCTCGTGTCAAAATCCCACAGGTTGGGTCTTGGTTTATTGTTTCAGAGACACATTGAAATCTCTATTTCCCCTTTTTTAAATCTTACAATTTTACATAACTGAACCAAATCTTTATATTAAATCTAGTAGTACCAGAGGATGTAACATATAGTCAATGATTCAACTAATCATACCAACAGTTTCTTAATTAGATATATATGTGAAAAGTCACAATTTTTTGTAAAAAATTTGAACCTAAGAGTTAATCCGTCAAATTTAAATCATTGATCCACCTAGTGCATTCATTCTCGTGAAATCCTGGATCCGCCTCTCCTTAAACAAATCGCAAAAAAATAGAAACCAAAGTTCGGATTTTTTCGATATAAAATGTTCCTTTTAACAACATCCATTTGCAGAGAAAACGATCGGAAAACTCAAAAAATGAAAAACAGAGATTGGAAAAATTACATTGAATATAAAATACTAATATATTGAACTAATTACCTGGATGAGACGATCCAAATCCAAAAGTGTCTAGGGTTAAAACAGGGGAAACGAAGAAGAAGCGGAGAGGCTGTAGTGTTGATTTTCTTTTTTTTACCCTTTTTCCTCGGCAAAGGAAAAAGTAATATCTACACGTACGGATCCCTTTGAAATACAGCGAACCAAACAAATATGGTAAAATACCTTAAACCATCCTGAACTTGGACGTTAATGCGACAAAAATTACCCCTTAGACGTTAATGTGACAAAAAGTATCGGTATGGGTATACTCACATGCCACGTGGATTTTTCTGTCTATGGGCTCTTTTTGAAAAATAAAATATCTTTTTATCTTTTTAAAAATATTACTTTTTAGATAAATTTTTTCGAATACAATTTATAATAAAACTTGGATATAACTATATTATTTAGGCTAAATATTTTTATTTGGCCAAAAATAATAAATTTTCAATTAATCTTTTTTCGAATTTGACCTGAAAATAAAGATTTATACAATTGAAATAAATAGTTAAGGCATCTAAAAAGTTATAAAAAAATACATAGTTTGAAATTAATTATTTTGGCTATAAATTTTTATATAGCTCTAAATTACGGTGCTCTCATTTTTTAATTTTTTTTACTGATTTTACCTATAAAAGTAAAAATACACAGTTGAAATAAATAGTTATTGCATCAAAAGAAATAAAAAGAGTGTACAATTGCAAGATTACAAGTGCAATTGTACACTCTTTTGATTTCTTCTTTTGATGCAATGACTATTTATTTCAACTGTGTATTTTTATAACTTTTTTAGATGCCTTGACTATTTATTTCAATTGTATAAATCTTTATTTTTAGGTCAAATTCAAAAAAAGATTAACTAAACCTTTATTATTTTTGGCCAAATAAAAATATTTAGCCTAAATAATGTAGTTATATCCAAATTTTATTATAAATTTTATTCGGAAAAAATTATCTTAAAAGGGTAATATTCTTAAAATGGTAAAAAAAAATTTATTCTTCAAAAGAATGCCACATAGACAGAAAAATCCACGTGGCATACGAGTGCACCCACACTTTTTGCCACATCAGCGTCTAGGGGGGTAATGACTCTCAAAAGGCCAAATTGAGGGGGTAATTAAGACCGGGCATAGTTCGGGGAGGATACTAATAATCTGAGTCAAGTTTAGGGGTGGTTTAAGGTATTTTACCAAGAAATATTTAAAATCTAATCATAACAAAAAACTATTAGGACATAATAATAATGCTACCTTAATTTAACCTTATAATCTTCTACCTTCTAATTTAACAGCAAATTCTCAAAACATGAACAACGTATTCATTCTGTTAATCTCTGAGGACAAAAATAGCGAGACGGTATAGTCCATGGAAGGGGCGTATCTATGTATTGGAGTACGAGGCATGCTCCTCTCGTTATACTATGTATAATAATAATAGAGAAAATGCATAAACATCCCATTAAACTTATTTGGAAAAGTCATTTACACACCTTAACTTTACGAGTGTCCTAACACCCCACTATTGTTATCTAAACTAAATTTTATACCTCCCTCAAAATACCAAACCAGTCTTGTAGTGGGCTGTGTTAACACGCGCCATGTATCAAAATACTGCACTGTTTCCTTTTTTATTTTTACTTTTTCTTTCCTTTTTTCACTTTTTTTTTCATTTCATCTTCTCCAGCTTCCTTCATCGTTATCTTCGCACCCAACCACCATGGAAGGCAATCACAACTATAACCTCCCTTAAACTCATAAACTCTATCTCTGAAAAATCAGAACCACCTCCCGTGCCATCCACTTTAGCACCTCTAATTTGACCATTTTTCCTTCACATCAATCTCACAAAAGAATACCCACACACCCAGATCTAGGAGAAAACAAGAGAAAATTCTTGTACGAAAAATGGTATTTCAAGCACTCCAATCAAGTATTAAAATTATTCCAACTTAAATCTATGACTCAAGCTCTGTACGAAAAATGGTATTTCAAGCTCTCCGTGTATGGCGATCCCAAAAAAATTTTCCGTTATCCCTTGGTTATCTCCTTCTATCTCTGTATCTATATAAAATTAATTGTACTATATAACATTCTTCTTTATATTCTTCAAATACTATTTTAAAAAATGAAGAAAATGAAGAAACGAAGAAAGAAAAAATAGGTCTGTTAAAATGAAGAAAGAGAAATGGGTACTGTTAAAATGAAGAAAGAGAAAAAGAAATGAAAAAGAAAAGAAAAATGAATAAGGAAAGAGAAAAAAAATAGTATTAAGTTTAATTAGTTAGAGTATCCAATTGGAAAGTGACACCTGGACAAGTAACTTAATTTTAAGCTGATTTTTTTGCCTCACGCGCATCTAGGAAATGAACTACACTATCCATGACAGATCATCACTTAATGGGGTATTAAATTTAGCTTAGATAAGAATAGTGGGGTGTTAGGACACCCGTAAAGTTAAGGTGTGTAAATGATTTTTCCTGACAAGTTTAATGGGTACTTTATGCATTTTCTCATAATAATATTATATTTCTTAATAATTGCTTCATATACATGGGTGCACCCAAGCTCAAAGAGTCTTATGGTTCAATGATTACTAAGTGCACCTTTATAAGTGAAGCTAGAGGTTCAATTCTCAATTTATAGACATGTCTAGCATCCATCGTGTGTTTTAATTAAGTATTTTGTTGTTTTCTTTTATTATTTGGTTTATCCATTCCGGGTTTGGTTTTGGAACTCTTCTTTCTCCCTCTCTGCTTTCTATCTACTAACGGTCAACTCAACACCACACCTCCCCCCCCAAACCCCTTGTGACTTCGCCGGCGACCCCTATCGCCTGCGCCACCACCGGAGTAAGGCCAGAAATATACAGGTAAGTATTGCCCTACCATTTTTCCTCCCCCCCCCCCTTCCCCTTCTCCTCCTTTGCCTACTCTCTTTCCTTTCTTGCTCATATTCCTCAAGTCGCCTCTGCCCGGATCTGAATAGGGGTAACACTTTAGCGGCCTTTTTCTAGTATTTGTCTCTCTTTGCGGCCCAAGAGGCTGCCCTCTTTTGAGTGTTGTAGGTACCTACAAGAGAATCCGGCGACAGTGAAAGTGGTGGCAGCGCGTGCTATTCGCGGGAGTTGGTACCTCCCGCTTTCCTACCTCTCTTCTTTGTGTTAGTCAAATTGTTGTTGTTTTAGTTCACATTAGTTAGTCATACTATTAGCGTGCCTGTAGTAACACTCCTTGTTTTCTTCTAGTTTGGTCTGTTACTTCTTTGTTAGCAATTTCCCCTTAGTCTGTCATAGGTGTAGTGGTTGTGGTCTGGGATGGTAGAATAAGGTCATGTCCTCAGGGTAGGTGGGGGTGGGACGGGAGGAAAGGGGGTAAAGGGAACAAGGGAGCCTATAGGTTGAGAATTGGGTCTTGGAACATAGGAACATTGACAGGTAAGTCTATAGAGTTGGCGAATATTCTCCAGAAGAGGAAGGTCAGTATAACTTGTGTACAGGAGACTAGGTGGGTAGGATCGCAGGCGAGGAATGCAGACGGGTATAAGCTGTGATATTCTGGAGTCAAAAAGGGTAATAATGGAGTGGGTATCTTGGTGGATAGGGATTTTAGAGAGTCTGTGATAGAGGTTAGGAGGGTAAATAGTAGATTAATGTCTATTAAGTTAGTGGTTGGAGGGTGCACCCTTAATATCGTTAGCACGTATGCGCCGCAAGCGGGCTTGGATGAGGAGGTTATAAGGCGCTTATGGGAGGAGATGGATAAGATAGTGCATAGTATTCCGCCTCCATAGAGGTTATTTATCGGAGGGAATTTCAATGGTCATATTGGATCGACTACTGTGGCTACGATGAGGTGCATGGCGGCTTCGGCTTTGGGGATAGGAACGGAGGAGGTACTTCGCTGTTGGATTTCGCTAAGGCATTTAAGCTGGTGATTGCGAACTCTATCTTCCCGAAGAGGGAGGAGCATTTGGTCACTTACCAAAGTGCAGTGGCGAAGACTCAGATTGATTATCTCCTTCTCAGGAGGTGTGATAGAGGGTTGTGCAAGGATTGTTAGGTTATCCCGGGTGAGTCACTCGCGACTTAGCATAGGTTCTTGATGATGGACGTTGGTATCATGATTAAGAGGAAGAAGAGGTCTGTACGAGAATTGTCGAGGATTAGGTAAGGAGCCTTGACTACAGATAAAGCTCAGGAGTTGGAGGGGAGGTTGTCGATTATGGGAGCCCGGAGGAGTGGCAGGGACGCGAGCACTATGTGGACGGCGACATCAAACTGTATAAGGGAGGCGGCGAGAGAGGTGTTAGGGGTCTTGAAAGGTTTCTCTGGCGGGCACAAAGGCGACTGATGGTGGAATAAAGTGGTCCAAGGTAAAGTGAAAGTGAAGAAAGCAGCGTACCTGAAGTAGTAGGTAGCATAGGCGAGGAGGAGAGGAGGGCGAACATGGAGAGGTATAAGGTAGTTAGGAAGGAGGCAAAGTTGGCGGTCACGGAGGCTAAGAATGTAACATTTGGTCATCTATACGAGGAACTAGGGAACAAAGGCGGGAAAAGTAAGTTATTTCGGCTGGCGAAGGCGAGGGAGAGGAAGGCACGGGATCTGGACCAAGTGAGGTGCATCAAAGATGAGGATGGTAGAGTTTTGATTGGAGAGGCACGGATTAAGCAGAGATGGCAGACATACTTTCATAGACTTTTGAATGAAGAGGGGGACCAGAATATTTGCGCTAGGTGAGTTGGGGCATTCTGGGGGTCACCGAGAATTTGGGTACTGTAGGCGCATTAAGGTTGACGAGGTAGTGAGGGCTATGTGTAAGATGAGTAGGGGTAGAGCTACCGAGATATTGCGCTAAGTGAGTTGGGGCATTCCTGGAGTCACCGAAACTTTGGGTACTGTAGGCGCATTAAGGTTGACGAGGTAGTGGGGGCTATGCATAAGATGAGTAGGGGTAGAGCTACCGGGCCAGACGAAATTCCGATAGAATTCTAGAAGTA